AAGGAACCATGGGCATCTCCCACCCTCTGGTGACTTTCCAATGACCTGGATTCCCTCCAGCCTTCCCAGGGCTGAGTCCAGGTGTAAGAAACCAGCAGCCCGGGTCACAGAGTACAAGCAAGGAGACTGGGGATTAGCCGTACCACTAAAAGGCTGCAGTAGCTTCAGCTACAGGGCTCACTAGGTTTCATTGGCCTCATTCCTGACAACCCCTGAGGAAGGCTGAGTTCATCTTTCTGCCAAGGGAACCCTTAGGGCAAGAACAGGGCAGGAGCGAGCAAGAAGATGGAGCTTGACAGGCTGACAATACAGAGAGGAAAGCTGGATGGCCTTTGGCACAGTGGGAACTGCTGCGTTCATACACCCATGGCCAGCCCCTGCTCTGTCTTAGAGCACCATGGGAGCTGGCTGCAGCCAAGCACACACTGCGCTCTGGTTGCCAACATGCCAGATTGCAAACATATTGGAGAGTAGTCTCTGACAGCTCCAGGGGAACTGGATATTTTACTGGCCAAGCCGAGGGCAAACCCTAACAGAAGTAGCCTGGCCCCACAGATCAGTCAAGCCTCTCTCAAGGTTGATGCTGTACTTTGTGCTGGCCACCTTTGGAAACCCTTTGGTCTTTGAAATAAGGATAATGACTTCCTCTGGGCTTCATACAGCCCCAAGCACAAGGTTAATCAAGAGGCATTTTCATCAGGCTGTGCCCCACCCATTCCTACCTGCTTCAGGGCATCAGCATAGCAATGGTCCTGAACAACGTATTCATTTCTCATCAGACGTTCTCCTTGAACTCCTTCATGTCCTGGTGGCCTTGCTTCTGGGGAAGATGAGCTCACAGACCAGTGAGCTCTGCTTGCTCTCTGTTCTTTCTCTGCTTGGTTCACCCTTTCTTTGCCTAGCAATCCTAAGAGCTTTCTGAAAAGCACTCTGTGAGGTCCCAGCCTTCTTTACAGCCCTAAGCAGCAATATCAAAGGCACAAAAGGGATTGAGGCATTGGCAGCAGACGTGGGGATGCCACAATTTGTAGGGTTTGGCTCTGTTGCCGTAATAAGATAAGTGATCAATGAAATAAGGGGAAAAGGGAACCAGCCAACACATCCTGGGTGGTTTTGCCTCAAGCTGAGCTAGACACATGGCAGAGATCTATTAGGTCACTGCTCTGGAGGGTAGGCCTGGAGGCTGCAATGCCCCATAGTATCACCCAGAAGTAAAGGGTCAGCTTGGCCTAATGAGTGACACAGCAACCCTGGAGTCAGGTAAGCTGAATTTGATCCCTGGCTCTGCCAGAGAGCCCATGTCATCCTTGCTTCTGCTTTCTTCCTCACCTCTGGAGGCTGTAAGGCTTTCTGGGGCAGGGAGCAGCTCAGTTATCATCTGCCCAAAGCAGCTGTGACCTCAGCTGCAGCCTCCAAAGGTCATGTCAAAGATATTCCCAATCCTACCAGCCCACACAGTTTGCGTGATTAAGGCACACTGGTGTCTACAGCCAATGACATACAAGCTAGTGATATAGTCTGAATTATTCCCAGCCACTGTGAACTCCCCACCCCAAAGGTCTGGGTACCCTCCATTCACTGTGGATTGACAGTCAAGCAGCAGCCTTTGGCACGACCCTGAACCAGGTTCTCTCGAGCCATAGCAAGATGCCCTGAGTGCTTTGCCACACAGCCCCTCCTCCAGGCTCTGCAGGAATACAAATCGAACACCAGAAAGGAGTGAGCGCTCTGAAAATAATATCAGTCATCTGAAGGAGGGAAGGCACTTTATTTGCTGCAGGATCCTTCATACAAAGCTGCTTCAGAGAAAAAGTTAATCAAGCTCCAACAAGATTATCTGTGGTATAAAACACGGAAAAGATATTGAATTATGTATAAATTAGCTCCTTCCCTCCCAAGGTCAGTCATTGCAGGGGGAAGCTTTGAGAACGAGACAGCAAGTCTTCTCTGGGAAATCTGGAACAAGATGGGATTGGGAAGTTGGAGACCTGTAATGAGCATGTTGCTGAGAAGCAGCTGCAGGAGAGAAGACTCTCAAAGGGACCGTGGCTGAGTCTGGGGAAGGGACAGAGGATCCTGACACTGTGTGAAACAGGTCCAGGAAGGAGGCAAGGAGTTGGTCACAGGCATCGAGAAGAGGAGAAGTCCTGGTCACCCATCTAGTCCATCATGCTGGGGTCAGTGCAAGTAACCAGAATGGAGAAGCAGCCCTAGGCAAGCTCCGTGCCTCTCCCTTAGGATCAGGGTGCGACTGCTCGGCATGTCACAGCAGACACAGGCCCAAAGGCAATTTCAAACTGGGTCCTCAGATGAACTGGGAGCCAGCAGAAGCCACATGAGGGTAGGCTGCATCTGTATGTCTGAGGAACAGGGCAATCGGCCAATGCACCCTGGAATCTGAGAACAGAGCCACTGAGGGGGCATTAGGGAAAGGGAGGGGGCAGGAATCTCGGCTCCGTTCCCTCAGGATGACAGGCACGGGGCCAAACGTCACTCACACCAGTGCACTTCCCTCTCCACAAGGGCCGCTGCTGAGGCGAACACTGCACAGCAGGCTCCAGGAGGCAACCAGAAACGAGGGAAACTAGCCAGGGGGCGCAGAAGGGGCCAAAAGGGTCCATGGTTTTACATCTGTGACAGACAGCACCTCCCACACATAGCAACTGAAGCAACTGCAGCACTCCCTTCAGCCTGCAGGGCCTCTCCACCCAGATGCTGAGCTGGCTTAGTTCCCATAGCTTGTGGGGGCTGGCAAGATCATAAGGCTACCAGGCAGAGAGGTAGGGACTTTATGAGGCACACAATGGTGCTACTGCTGAGGTAGGTCTGGAGAGCTGCAAGGGAGGAGGAGGGTTCAAGTCTTAGAGGATGCCCAGGGGACTGCAACCAGAGGTGGATTGTGCTGGAGACTCTTCCCTCAAAGCTCACTCAGATGAGCGGAGGATGAACAAAGAGGAGGCATGGGTTGCATAGTGCTGTGGCTCTCCAACAGGACAGCTGGGATTTCCCAGGGGCTCTAAGGGAGACAGGGACCCAACTGACTCTCAAGGAAAATCCCAGACCAAAACGGCTGCTGAAGGTGACAGGTTAAAGGAGAGAAGTGAGAAATAACACTTTGGGGCTCTTCAGAGGAGGTAAATGAAGGAGCTTGCCAGGCAAGTGAGGATGGAGCAGTGGACTCAACCCAAGCACAAGCTGCAGAGTCCATCAGGGACCCAAGATGAACTGAGCTCCGAATCCACCTGGATTCCAGTGGTAACTGAGGATTCTGGTGCCAAAATAAGGATGCTTAGCTAGCACCGTTAGCCATCTCACCGTGGAGCATTTTAGCTTCATGTGCAGAACCTACAGGCCCAAACTGCCTGCTGCTCACTGAGCTGAGGCAATAAAAACCTTCAGTGGAGCATCACACGGAAAAAAACGACACGGTCCTGGCATCCCAGGGCTGTGCCACCCCTTTGCAGATAGCCATTCCAGGGAGTGAGAGCACTAGAGGGGCTACTCCAACTGGTGCTGCTGGAGATGGCTCTCCTGGAAACCGTCCTGCCCAGAACACTGCTCCCACACCCGAACGGCAGCATGTTCCCAGCCAGGGCCGGACTGGGGGCTGTTCTGCTGGCCCTACACCACGGGAATGTCCCTCTTCTCCCCGCTCAGGTACATCTTCCAGCTTTTTAGCTCCCTTGTGCCCATGCAACCAGCAGAGGGGGCTGCAGGGACCCCTGCAGTAGGGATCCAGATGTCTTGCCTGTTATTCCTCCACTGTCAAGTTCTTCTGCCTCTGCCAGCGGTGCTGAGTTTCTCCTTCCCTCCGTGCACCGCGAGTCAGAGCCCTGTGGGACAACCTTCCTCCCAATCCCTCCAAGTCCCATGCTCTCCCTCCTGACTTGACCCCTGCAGCTGATGGAGACACATAGCTTAATTTGAGAGTCCCAGTTTGGGAGCAAGGTGCTGATGTGTGCAGAACATCCAGAGTGAAGCCATGACAGAACCAGAGGCCACCAAGAAAACATTTAACACTGGAGAGGCTAACACAGGAGTGCAGATGTGAAAAGGGAAGGCCTTGAAGTCAAAGTCCAGCTGGAGAGGGATGGAAAGTGGGGATTTTCCAGGTTGGGCAGGATGAGAAGCAGCCACAAGAGTCCAGCTAAGGAAGCAAGCAAGAGAAACCCCACTATCTCCCAGTCACAGGAGATGGCAGTGTCCACAAGGTAGCCTCGCAACTGACCCCAGGCCCAGCAGAACTGAGGCACACCTAGGCTTTCCTAGCTAAAATCCACACACATCTGTACGTTGATGCATCTTCACCCTCCCCAGAGCCTCAATGAATGGGGTGACACAAGCTGGGCAGAGACTGCTCCCAGGATAAAGGCAGCGTTTAGCACCTTGCCTGGTAGTGTCCTGCTGGCTGCTGCTGCCTATGCCTCCTCTTGCTTAATTCTGGGACACTGAAGCAGAGATGGCATAGAGTCCTACAGGCATAGAGTCCTACAGGCTGCCAGCACACTGGGGTAATAGAAAGATGCAATAGAGAGGTCAGAGTGCCTCTGAACCCATTTAACTGTCAACCATGCAACAAGCCAAGCATGTCTAGTGAAGCAGCCCCCTCTCCAGAGGCAGATTGTGACCAGGCATTGCCCCCAAGTTGTGGTGACAGGAGCTGCAGGAGGCTTTGAGGCTCTGTGCTTGTGCTGCCCTCTCTGGGAGGTGGCAAGTTTCTGTTGGGAATCAGCAGTGCTTAGACCACGAGCAACTAATGCCTAGAGCAATGCAAGGCAAAGAGCACACAACCCAGTGAGCATCAGTGCATAATGGGCACAGGCATGTCAGCGCAAAGAGTCACTGAAGATGAAGGATTAAGGAATGAGGAAATTAATCTTGCTCCTAACGCCAAGTTGTTGGGTTGTTTTTCTCTGAAGCCATGCACACAACGGCGGGAGGCCAGCCAGCTCACGTGGGGAGGCTGCTGGTTTGATAAAAATCAGAGCAGGGAGATTTAAGGCTGTGCAGATGCTGAAGATGCCAAGCACAGCGGCTCCCAGCTCACGGGAGCAGCCTTGCAAACAAAGCTTCTGAGTCAGAGGGCAAAGATTCAACTCCGCCTTTCCTCTACAACCCTGCACACATGCTTAACAGAGGCACAGACAGAGCTCAGGGGCTGGGGGTGCAGCTCAGTATTGCTAACATTTAGACCCCTTCTGCCTTGGTCCCTTCCAAGCTATCCATGTTTCCTCTCATAACATAGACCACGGCACGCTGCAATGACAGGGGGCAGCTTCAGCAAGAATCAATGCCAAGGCATCTCTCTGAGCAGCTGCAGCAACAGCTCCCTCAAGCCTAGTGCTGTAATGTGTCTGACCCACTCTGGCCAGAGGACCTAGAGTCACAATCTGTCACATCACCGAGTTGCCTGGAGAGAGGAATCCTGCCAAAGCAAAGACCAAGCCAGATCAAACCTGCTGAGACAGAAGGAGCTGCTGGCTGAAGCCAGAGCTGGCCTGTTTCTGGATGCTCTGGACCAGCACTGGGACTGCTGTGTGTTGTAGCCTGGCCTATCAGATACAGCCAGATACCAGCACTCTACTGAGTTTGCCGTTTAAAAGGAAGATAGTGGGGAGGGGGTTCCAGAGCCCAAACAACAATGTTTTGTGGCACAAGATTCCACCTCGAAGTTGTGGCTCCACCCATGCAGGGAGTTTGGCACAAATCTTTCTTCCTTTAATGGCTTTCAAATACACCATACTATATTAATACATTTTTAATAAGTCACAGGTGCCCCCCCCTTCCCATAAGCACATGCCTTTCAGAACTTTCCATGTCATCTCTGCAGCCTCCAGTTCTAAGGGACCCAAGGAGACAGAGCAGGCAGCCAGCTGGGCCAGCATCCTGGGCTGTGTGGGAATCTCAGCCTGGCTGCCCCACCATTCACAGGAGTGCTTTCTGCTTCATTAACCCCTTCTTTGCTCCCTGATGAATCTTTGAATCCAGTTTCCCTGTGAAGGGGAAAGAAAGGGGAGGGGGGAGGGGGAAAAGAGAAAGTCATTCTTTATTTTTAAATGCAATTTGCAATGCAAATCAGCTGGAGGCAGCAAGGTCTCCTAGTTAGTGTGTTCCTGTCACATTCAATTATCCTGCTTGAGGAAGCAGGCATTTCCAAACTTCAGTGTCTCGCTCTGTTGGCGTGACACAGGGAGCTGGGAGCATCGTGTGTGATGCAGGGGGGAAATCATGGGGGGCTTTGGCAAGGAGGAGGGGAAGTGAACCTCCATGGCTCCCCTGGCTACAGGCTCTGCTCAGCAGTAGGATCCATACATGACGTGTTTTCAGGGACTGTGCATACTGAGCGCATCTTCCCCAGGCACTGCATGGGAGCGATGTCCCTGCAACATGTCAACTTGCTGTGTAACACGGGCCTCGCCACCACAATGTTATAGAAACCTGGCCTTCTCAGTCAGAGCAGGCTCCCCAGCTGCATGGGGCCAGTGACCTGAAGGAGCACAGTAGAGAAGGCTGGAGGCTTGTGTGACTATCTGACGAAGGGCTGGCCACATGCTGTGGGAGTCAGAGTTTGCAGCCTGTGGGGCTCTTCCTAAAGGAAAATCTGGCTAAGAAGTCTCTCCAGACTGAAGCCTTGCTAACAGGAGGCACATCACTGCCTCCCACCTCAGCACAGAACAGCCCAGGGACACCACATGGCTATACCCACAGCTAGGCATTCCCTCTTAACAGCAGCAGGCCCCTGGGCCAATGCTGCCTCCCTTGGGCAGTCAGGCAGGCTGTTGCATTAGGTCATGACTTAGAGCAAAAAGAAGGGAACCTATCTCCCCCCACCAACCATATCTCCAGAGCAATATATGCTGTTTCTTTCCCATTCAGGGCACCCACAAATCATAGACGGGTTTCTGACAGTGCTGAGACTCTTCCACAAACCAGGCAACAGCCAAAACAATGCCATGTGGCTCTGGTCTCCCATGAGTCTCCACTCTTCTCTGCCCTGCCCTCCCAGAGAGGGGTGTGCAGCAGCAGGTCCACCAACCACCAGCCAGAGAAAAGCAGGGCACGCCTAAGTTGTCACAGTCACTCCACAGAAGGCTGCAGGGTTCCTGGCTCTGTGCAGATGCTTTGATCCCTGGCAGATTGATGGCTTGTGTCAAAATTCATAACACATCGTTCCAGCCAGAACAGAAATTGCTCTGGCCCTTCCCAGCAGTGGCTGGCTGCCGCTGGCATGCTCCATACTGCTCCTGCCCTATCATCAAGGCGGCTTCTGCGCTGTGGGGGTGACAGCTCTTCTGACCAAGGACATGCAGCCAAAGCCAGGGCAGGCACTCTTCCCTCCTGCTCTCAGATCAAACCTCCTGTCTCCTGTGCTCTCATCCACGTGACCCCGCAGAGCCCCCACTTACACTGGAAGATTCTGCGCCATGCTGGATTCCACCCGTGGTAGACAGAGGCAGCCCTCGGCTCTTACAGCCTGGGCACACATTCGGCCACCTCTCTCGCTGTTATTTGTATTCCTTAACCAGCGTGCTGCAGCGGCTCCCTCAATCCCCATCCATTGCTCGGCGAGACAGGAACATTAGTCAGGGGGATCGGCTTGCATTGATCTCTGCTCTGTCAGAGCGCTCGCTGGCTTTAAACACGCTCATCCATAACCAGCAGGAACTCATTAGCTCCATCCGTTGGAGCGCTCTCTCTCCCCACAACGACACATGCTGCTGTCCAAGCAGAGCCTGGGCTGGCAGGACTGAGCGCACAAGCAGCTGCTGCCCAGAAGCCCTGCACAGAGGGGCAGGAGTTAAATAATGCTTGCTACTGCCTGCAGAGGTTTCTCCAAGCAGACTAGGCAGCTATATATTAGCCATGGGAGCTGAGATCAGTGCTATTGAACACTGGCAGGCGAACAGCAGTGACTTGGGCTGACAGCAACTGCCTCCAGGCAGGTGAGATCTCCCTTCAGAGCCAAGCCAACAAAACTACCATGAAAAGCCAAAGCTTGTTGTCACAGCCCTGAAGAACGTCACCCAGCTGGGCACTGGCTCTGCTCTCTAGGTTACTGTACCATCTCATCCTGGTGGATGGGACCATCCCACCACATTTCTGCTTTTGTCCCATGTCCCAAGGTCACATTCACTGGGAAACAGGACCATCTTGGGCAGTAGGGAAATTTTGGAAGGACAAGACAACTGCATGCAGTTGCTGTATGTGTAGCTCTTAACATTTGAGGGCCAGGTCTGAGCACACAAGCCGCTTGGGCATATGCTGGCAGGGCTTAGGAAGTGTTTCCCCACCCCAGAGACAAATGCTTTCTCTGTCTGAGAAACAACAGTATCTTGGGTGACCAATTCGGCTCAAAGCAGTGACAGCCTAGCAGTCATCACTCATGAGGATGCCTTGCTTACAGTATTTGCTGCTTTGCTCAGAAACTTCTGCCAGAACAGGGGTGGAGCATCAAATCCCAGATGCTTCCTCTCCCTGTATCTCTCTGGGGTTGGCCGATTTCCCTGAAAATGATCCTCAGCCTGGATTCAGTACTGAGTCTGCTACCTGGCCAACCCTCTGCTATAATCTGTACTCCACAGGGAGCTTTCAGGGCTTAGGCCTCTGGGGCGCACAACTCTTCTGCAAAGCCCAGAACTGCTCATCTCTTAGGTTTGCTCACATTTCCAGTGGGAGGGCAGAGGGACAAAAAGAGGGTTTGCAAAGAGTCAGCAACAGAATTGCAGGGTGCAGCATGAAGGCTTCCCCTGTCATGGCTCTCAGCCACCATGCAGGAAGGGCAGCCAAGGGAAAGTTAGAGCTGTGACTGCAGAAATGGAATGGCCCAAGTCCTGGAAAATCTACTGGAGGGCATCTCCCATACCCCAAGCCTCCTCCTGGGAACTGACTGCCCCTAGCAGAGTGTTTCCACCCTCAGTTTCTATGATGATGTGAAGATTTGGAATGAGCCTCCTCTGGCTGAAATGGAGGTGTGATTAGACACCACATGTCCAATCCACTCTGAGCTCCGACTGCCAAGCATGCCAGACCGGCGTGTTGCAGAACGCTGGGTTCTTCAGCGGGAGGAGATGCCAGGGGAGCAACAGAGTCAGCTGTTTGCTTCCATTCTGTACTGTCAAGAGCTCTGACAAGCCAAGGCGCTTGGCTTCACATTCAGCACCAACATCCCAAGTGCAGCTGCTTCTCCTTATCCCCAAGGACCCAGCTGACCAAGAAGGCTCTCCAGCTCAATGAGCTGGTGAAAACCTAGCTTATTCAGAACCAGGACACAGCTATGAATAAGGCAACCAGGCACTGGGACTTCCACTCTCTCCAAGCTAAAATCATCTCATTTAAGTTTTCTTTCCCCTCTTGCTCCAGACTGCAAATCCCACTGAATGCCCCACCTCCAACCTCTGCTCCCTGAACCCAGACCAAGACAGGAGCTCACTGCTGCTACCCTCCGTTATTACTGATGGAACAGGAGACCGATTCAGAGAAGCTTGGGAGTCCCTCAGAAGCCAAGCCTGGACTAGGGAACACTGCCACAAGAACGACGGGGCAAGCAAGGGGCCCCCTGCATTCAGAAATAAATGGAAACATATTTCTCTGGCTCAGCTTCCCCTTCCCAAGTCACAATCCCCCTGACTGCTCCCTCACATGCAACCAATAACTCTATCCACAACTGGGGCTATTTTCTTGTAGTCCAGCACAGAAAAAAAAGACAGAGCATTAGTTCTCTTAGAAGTGTTCAGCTGCTACTGAGATGGTGGCCATATAACTAGAGTGACAAGACAGAAGGCAAGCCCAACTTCTGTATGACCAAACCAAGGACCTTTGTTTCACAAGTACAGGTCAAAAAGACATGGTGGTTGCTGCTTAGGTTACATTTCCAAGAGCTCCTGTAACCCAGTGGTGATCAACCTTTTGGTCCCATGGGCCAGATTTGTGGCACAGAGTCAGTCTGGGGGCTGAATTAAGCCCTGTGCCAGGATCAGGCCCTGGGGCCCTGGCACTGCCCCCTCCTACCCCTGCATGCTGGGATTGGGTCCTTAGTGCTGTCTCTCCTGGCTCCCACACCAGGATTGGATCCTGGGGCCCAGCACTACCCCAACCCGATCCATTGCACAGGGCCCACAGGGCTCCCCATGGACCTGAAAATTTGATAGCAGGGAAGCAGTGGCACTGCTCCCCTGCCACCAAATTTCTGGACCCATGGGGAGCCCTGTGGGCCAAGTGATACGGCACCATGGACTGGATCTGGCTCATGGGCTGGAGGTTGTGTACCTTTACTGTAGCCTATCAGCCTGTTCAGATGGGAATGTGATAGGGATCCCCATTCCAGGCCTTGTTTGAGGGCTCAGAGGGTGTTACTATAATGAGAAGGTCAATGATTCTCTGTCCCTTCCCTGACTTGTCACAAGTCCTGTTTGTGCAGCCTGCAATGATCGATCGCATCTTCCCTGCAGGGGAACTTGTAACCTCCACAATCTCACTGCTCCTGCTGCTGCTCCTTCACAACACATCCTGTCAGGAGGGAGCCATGGAAGGCAAAGCCAGCACAGGGAGGGGGGCCCTTAGGCAGCCTCAGGCGCAGCCAGCTCCCTTCCAGTCTAGTAAACTGATCCCTCTTCAAGCAGGAAGCTGTCACAACACAAAGCATGCGATGCGACAGATGGGAGCTAGGGAGCACTTGTACCCAGAGATGCAGAGACAAGAGGAGGTTGCTGCCCACTACTTGCACAGCATAGAGCGCAACAGTGTTTCAGCCAGTCACTGCACCCAGCTGGCTGACCTGACTCCATCACTGTGACCTGATGAAGGAATATGTGGCAATCAGGGGTGCAGCATGAAACAAAGAGGGGAAAGTTTCCAAGAGGACAAAGTCAGGGAATTGAGACCAAATGCAATGCCGATCATAGGGACATACTAGGAGCACAAAGACCCCTTTCTCAGAAAGAACCTGCCACCTTGCTTGCTGATTCACACACATCCAACAGAATCAGAGCTACCAGGCTGCAACTGACTCCATGGACAAGGTGTGAGCTTCCTCCACGAGTCCTGCAGCTGGGGCTGACCAAGTGACGTCGTGACAGCAACCATATGCTCCTTCCTGATACCACTGCTGCTGCATAAACAAAGCAGCAAACCCAACCCAGCCACCATGTCCCCCTGAGCTCCTGGGGAAACACATGCTGCAGCACCAGCCTCAAATGCCTCATGAAAAACAAATAGACCCCACACAGGTCAATCAATGGAGAGAGGAAAGGCCAGCATCCTTCAAAAAGGTGTTTGTTCGCTACTCCCAAGAAACACGGCTGCTTCTCAATGCCATCATCTAACTACTCCCAATGAAACACACTGCAAATTAGAGAGAAAACATAGTAGTAATCAGCTCTGCTAAACAAACAGCTGAGACTCTTCTTTTTTCTTTTTTTTTGGTTATGCTGTTTTTAGCCTGTCAAATTAATTTCTCCCATCCCCAGAAACCATGTGCGGCACCTTCCCTCGGCTGTGAGGTGGGGATGCTGCTAATAAGGACAAAGCTGACTGTATGCTGCCCAGCTGCTGTATCCATCTTCTGTTCTGTTTATGGCGGCAGGCAGCAATAACCAACAGCCTGTGGAGGGTTGGTTGCTCATAAAACAGACTAACAGCACTGGCAAGCATCATGTGGGCAGATGCTACGCAAGCTTCTCTATACAGCTCTGCCAGTGCGTTCCTGACCTGCAGCATACTGCACACAGCTCTAGCAAAGGCAGCACTTCCATCTGGACCTGCAGCACCCCCCCCCCCAACCCCTTCCCAGCCCTCTCCTTCAGAGAGCCAAGCAAACCTATTTGTTTGGCAGCTTCATAACACAGACAAATGTGTAGGAGTGATTAGAATGAGACCCATCACACTCATTTTCCCTTGAGATGGTAAGATAAGACCTGAATTCCAGTCTATAAAGGTGGAAAGGTAGTCCAATTACCACCGTGCTAGAGACAGTACTCCCTTTGCCAACACAGCTAACATTAGGACACTAGTTTTGCTACTTTCCATATGTGAAGGGATGTTTTTGACTCTATTGGATACAAAGGTTTACCACTTCAAGTAACCTGGTATGCTCAGTCAGACTCCAGGTGCTAGGGCTAGAAACAGATCAACTGCAGACACACATTTCCTACTTGCACATGAGGAGGCTAAGACTGCAGAAGTGTTAGCAGGGGCACAGGAAGGGGGAAAAGGCATGTGTTTTAAAGGAGGTGACATCTGGGGAAAGGAGACCCACGGAGGAAAACACTCCAGATGTGTTTGCATTATTAAACAAACGCCTGCGGATTACAGAATGCCACACAAAGCCTGTCAACTTTTATAGAGAATGCAAGTAGGGGTGGAGATAAAAACAGGTAGACAAGGGCTAGAAAAAGGTGGCCGTAGGGTGCCAAAACTTACAGATTTTGTGTTTTCCTTTGATGGGAAACTTCACAATCATCTCTTGGGCATGGGCACAGATGAAGACAAATGGAGACCGAGACTCCTCGCTCAAATCTGGGTACTGCAAAAACAAACAGACAGGGAGTGGGGCTGAGAGAGAAGCCTGATGTTTACATATCGCATAAGAGAGGTACAATTCTTGGTGCAATGGAAGTGAAGTCAGGACTCAGGACTGTGGCTACACCCCTTGGCAAGACTGTTTCTAAACTGAATGTTTTAGGGGTTCAGGTTAATCACTTTTATATCACCCCTCTAGCTAACCAAACACACATTTGTGATTAGATGCAGCCTCAACTTTCTGTGGAACAGATCCACTTTGGGAACTTTCTGTTTCTAAGGGGCTTATGGACAGAACACCATAGGTATAGACTGTGCTTTGCCAAATCCATCAAAAAAAGACCTCTACCTGAGGAGCTTAACCTAACTCAGACTAACATAGCACTATAAACAGGTGAACAGTTCAGAAAGGAGTCAGTGCAAAGATACAGCTGGTTGGAAGAGCTGTGCAAGGAATGCTGTTTTCCTTATGACATTCAGCACAACTCATATCAGGAGTATAAGTCCACCCTCTAGAGTGATTTCACTACAGTGAAAACATGTGGGGAATCTGTTCAGGAAAACAGTAACCAGATCCCTTTTTTCACTAACCAAGAAGGAATAAAAGATCCTTGAAGAAAGAGGAATATACAAATCCTCTCATCTGGACACAGTCCAGCCTTCACTAATGTTTAGAAGGTGACATGCAAACCTCTTACAGGGAAAAAAAAGTATATTAGCATGGTTTAAGGGCCTAGATTAGTAACAGAATAAGAACTGACCCACACACATAATGGAACTGCATGTGTCCCAGTAGCTAGGATACAACCCAAAGAGTTATCTTTCCCCAGGGAACCATAGCTTAGCTGGATTGTTACCTAGGACTGGGAAATTGTTTCCCATTCATGGTATGATATCATATAACTGTCTTCCCTTCCCCATTCCATTAGCAGACCTGGTAAAGGCCATTGCTGTGGACAGGACATCAGACCAGATGGAAGAAGGGATTTGGATAAAAGTGGTAAATGCATGATTTTTAGGGTATTTGGAAAAAAAAAAATCACTTCCTCTTTCACTGAGCTGCCAGGCAGCTTTTGGGTTTATTTCTGACAGCTGAACATGGAAAGCAGAGCAGGGGGTAACTGGCCTTTCTTGTGCTGCATAAGAGTGTTGCCAACAGTCGTGGGGGGGTGGAACACAGAATCCTTTGTACGTCAATTAAATGATTTCCAGACCCCTTCTTTCATAACTGCGTTGACTGCACAGTGCATGAATGAACACACACTCACACACTATAATGCTGCTCTGGGTGCTGATAGTTTTCTGCCATGCAGTACAAATTTCTTTGTGCAAGCACAGGCAAAGGGAAAAGAAAAGAGAAACCTCCCTTCTCAGATACTGATTAACAAAACAGCAGCAACTACTGAATCAGAGCCCATTACAGAATGATTCTTCCCAATTCTAGGAGCTGGGTAACAGATTTCTGCAGAGGTACCTGGCACGTGTTCCTCTGAAGATTCTGGGGCCATGACTAATGGTCATTCACAAGTCAAACAGGATTCATGTGGTCCCAAATCAAACAAAGCCTTGTACCTTTGCCTGACAAATCACTTGCCCCATGTTCACAAACGTTACCACCCAGCCATACTACTTTAGAAGTTTCTTTCCCTTTCATACACAGACAGCTCATCTGATAATGGAGCTAGAGAAAGCACAGCCTGCTAACTGTGCGGGCATGGCCTCCTGTTATTACAGGACTTATAGAAACACACACCCATCACACACTGCACAACGGCAGCAATCCCCTCAATTCCAGTCCATCCCTAAACCGCAACATTTTTCTCCTCACCCTGGGCACTCATCCCAAACCAGCTGGTAGGGTATTGTGCTTTTATAGCAGCAGGGAAGTCACCAAAGCCAGAGACACGAGCCCATGCATTTAACGATTCACCTGCTCAAAAGCTTTGCACAAACTCTGGAAAGGGTTGTTTCACTTAAACAGGGCCTCTACCAGCAGGAATTTTTGCAGGCTTGAAAATGTAGGCAAAGCCCTCCATTCACATGGATCAGCTCCATTTCTACCCCCAGCGAGATGTTCCCCACTGTGGAATTCAAGGTAATGATGACATTCTTTACCTGCCGGAGGGGCCAGGTTGATAGCCTTTTTTATCATGAAAACTGTTACCATAGCCATTACAAGATCCCATTAGTAGCACAAGTGTAAAGCAGGCCTTTTAATTAAAAGTTTGACTTCTGGAACAGGAGACTAGGTCAGCAAGCTGTGCAGTGCAAAGCAGCACACAGGAATGTGGCACAAGGCTGGAGTCATTCTTCCAACATGCGACATTCACTCAGAAGAGCTGGGTATGCAGTGTGCTGAGCAGTATGAGTCTGTGTACTGGACACTGTGACTCATTCGAGTTAGACCCCCAGAGCAGGCAGGTCGGAGGCTGCAGACTAATTGCCAGTGTAGTCCTTCAGACAGGCAAAGTTTAAAGGCATCACAACCTGAACCAGTTAAAGTAGTGAGAACCAGCAAAGCTAATGAATTGCCAAATGAATTACAGGTTCTTACTGGAGATTTTAATCCTTGACAAAAGAGAGAGAATGGATAGAGTAGGAATAGTAGAGCAACTCAAACATCTGAGATGAACATCTCCAATGCACTAGGGGACAATGACAGAGGGCATTCGTTACATATGTTGGCCCCTAGGTGGGCATGAGCTTTGCCTCTCACTAGATTATGACTCCCAGGGACGAAAACATCTTGAAGCCTAAATTAATTCATTCTGGATCTAAAAATCAGAGGACAGGCACTGGAATTGTCTGGTCCCATGGGCTGGAATGACCACTCTTTTCTGCCTCTTAGCAGATCTGTCTCAAGGACCTTGCTGTGTGTTCTTGCCTTTCTGCTCCCTTTCTGGAATAGGACACCTAGACTTTGTTGGAGTTTAGCAGGACTTGCATACACAACCTCCCTGCTGCTGCAGAGGATGTTAGTTTCTTCAGTTCTGCCTTGAAGGGACTTTAAATTAAAGAAGGTAGCTGGAAGGAACCAAACATTTAAAGCTACAAACCCAGTTTTTTGTATAATTGCTCCCAAGAGGATGCTGACCCTAATTATACTGCAGTCATTATTGCTTAGCACTTAAACCACAGTTCCTGCTTAAACCAACCCATGCAAGTCACTCAGGAGTAAGCCAAGGGTAGTCTCTCCTCTTACACACTCCCCAAGTAGCTGTCCAAGGAGCCATCATTTAGGACTTTAAGAAATTGTTTCTCTCAGCTGTGTCCCAAACATGGCATACATTAAATTCTAAATAGCTGAAAACCTCCGTTATCAGTATTTGAGTGAATACACTCAACATAGTGTACTATCACTAGTCTGACCAAAAGGCAAGCAATGTAACTGATAGATAGATATACCTGGGTTTTTGTGTCCTAGAATGTGCATTTCTACAAGTCCGCTCTAGTCAGAAATAGTCTTTCATTAGATACTACCCAACAGGTAAACGATCACTCTTCTACCTCTATGACTTCATGCATCTTTCCAGTATAGTTTACCTGGGCATTGGAACATCCCACGGATACATATCCCCCCTGCTTCAAAGATGCCTCATCAAATAGGCAGGCATTCTAGCTCGCTCACTCTTGCTTTTCATTGTACATTACAAGATGGAAAAGCCTGCACCATGACCCCAAACTGTACAGGTTCTTTTATTACTGATCATGGGTAAAAAACAAACAAACCCTATGTTACTTTGGTGCACAAGTCCCATTTTTTCCCACAGTGATTTAGGACCTGTGGTTCCAAAGACTTTCAATGAGTCTAAAGCTCCCAAATCACTTGGAAAAAATCTCTCTCTGGGAATGAGTTCTATGAAACCCCCTTATCTGATACCCTGTCTTACATAGTATGGTTGAGCCCCCCGGACACCTCTCCAAGTCACCTGGAATTTCTCTTCTGTTCACGCCACCATGCAATTCACACACAGCTAATAAAATGTCTCATGGAGATGGTGTTCGGGGCTGTATCAGCATAGCCACTGCACAGAAACCAGTAAGTCCCTGCTTGTTTCAACCACACACGAGAGATGCAAGTATCCATCTAAACAAGTGTGCTGGAGGGACCCAAATTTGTTACTAACAGGTTTGTAAGATTTGAGCTGTGAGGAAATTAGCAGGAGAAAAGAATCTTGAGGCAGCTTAACAGACCGAAAGAGCTTGAGGCTAAGTGGAGCATCTCAGTACATGCTGGAAGTCAGCTCTACAGAAGGCAAGCTGCCTACAATCATTGGCTCCTGCCCTCCCTATGGATTCAGGAGCTTGAAAATACAGCGAGTAGCTACTAGGCATGCCAAACAACTCCAACGATAAGGCAGCAGGGCTGAATATGTCGTGCTGAACGCTCCCCGTACTCTTTATTTATTGGCTTTCCCCCCCCAGCATGTCAAAACCAGCAACAGTAGCAGACCTGCCCAGGCTTTGCAGCTCTGCCAGCCCACAGTGAATGAGCAAAAGAGTGGATATGTCAGTCTCTGAGGTAGCAGGGAGAGGCACCCATTAAGCCTGACATTTATGGCCCTGTTTGACAGGGGCTGTTTTCATCCAGCCTAGCGTAGCAGAAGTAACAATCTTCTTTACTTGCTCACAATTGAGACAAGCACTGGGAAGCTTGAAAGGGAGGTACTGTGAGCGCTGGCTGTAGCCAGACAGACTGCAGACAGGGGCTGTGTGGGCTTCCCTGGAGACACTGTGCACAGTACATTTGGCAACAGACTTCGGGTCAGATGCCCTTGGCTGGCTCTTCTCCCTTCTGCCACTTCAGCTGCATAAAGGAAGTGGAGATTGGCTTCCACAGGCACTGAAGAGCCCTCAGCAGGCACAGAGCTGATGCAGCTGGGTTTTTGTATCGCCCTTCCTGTGGGCTGCTGCCTCCATTATAGAGGGCATGGCTGGAGCATGCTGCACTGCAGCTTTCCTCAGCTGGAGGACAGTCTCTTGGGGACTGCAGCTAGCTGACAG